TTTTATCCTTAGATCAGAAGCCCTCATTTGAAATATATTCCTAGTAAAAGATTTATATATACATATATAAAACTTCATATGTATTAAAATAAATATATTATATATTAAATATAAATATATAAAATATTATAATATTTAATAAAGATAACAAATACTAAAAAAATACCTGTATCAAGTATTCAAGCTTTAAAAAATTCTGTTCTCCAGTTTTTATGGAAATAATTTCCACACATTTACCAAATTTTCCACGGCAATTCTAAAAATCTAACTAACTTCTCAATTTCAGCGTATCTCTGCTTTCGACGCTAGTGTTTAATTGAGTTCCGCTGTTGCTAGTTTGTTGTCTTATGGTTTGTTGGTCGTAAATTCAATTGGTTGCTTTAAGCATTCAAAGTGATTTACGCCAAATGTTTATGGCAAATGCTCTGATCGCTGCTTAGCTGTCGAGTTATCGAGCTGCTGCTGCTGCTGCTGTGGGCTTATTTGTCTTGTGGAATGCTGGGCTAATCAGTGCATAATTAATATTAATTTATATGTAAGCTAAAGTGCACTTATCGTGGCTCTTATTTCAAATTTGCATTGCAATGCTTAATTTATGGGGCAATTGTCGCTAGGCGCCTATTAACAACAATCCACACACATTCTCAGCTCCTCATTAATTTGTATCAAAGCGAAAGCCAAAGGCAACAAACAAGCAGCAATGGCAACAAGAATAGCTACAGAGAACTGTAGAACGAGGCGTAGAAAGCGGGCATAGATGGAAATTGGAATTGTAACAAGTTCAGGCCAAGTCAACAAGCACTTGGCACATTTTGTGGCCATTTCACAGAAGTTGGGCACAGCCACAGCCCCTGTCTCAGAAGACACTCACAGCACACACACACAGACACACACATACACCTGCAGGGCGAGGCAAATTGAAAGACACAAAGACAACTGAAATATGTTTCGTTTCGTTTCGTTTGGTTTGGTTTGGCCCATTCTTGAGTTTGTTTCGAGTTTATTTTGTTTTTTCTTAACGAAGCGCTGCCAAGTCACTGTCAAAATATTGAAATAAAGGAATTTTCAATTTTAATTTCTTTAGCGCGCATCGTTTGCTCAAAAAATCGAGAGATGATGATGAGAGACAGACGAGAGGGGGACGTCCACTGGGCAACCGAAACGTTAACGTTCCAAGGAAGTGACTCTGTTCTTATGTTAATGATTGTTATTCTAAGCGTTAAATAAGCGTGGGTAAATAAAAACCTATGAAAATGAGCAGCAACAAAAAAAAACTGAGAACGAAATTCAAATTGACACATGCAACAAAATTACAAATGCAAGATATACCCAAAAAAAAAAAAACATTTAAGCACACACGCTAGAATTTAGAGCTGTAGAAAAAACAATTATAGAGAAAAATGGGGATGGTAAAAGGGCTATATGTAGATAAGAAGCACTATTCGGTAATAAAAAGGTGTTGAAGGTGCTAAAGGTCAGGGCTATGGAACTCTGAGAAGCTTAAACTGGAAGAGTTATTATGAACAAAGTACAGATATGCTATATATATATATATATAGGAAGCGTATAGTGTAGACATAGGAGATTTCTTAATTTATACTATTGTCTTTCTGTTTGAGAGTCATACGATAAAATGCTTCTTCTTCTCTGAGCGCCAGTCTAGCTAACAATTTGGCAAACTTCAAAAGTTTCTACCTTAGCCATGAAAAAAATCTCAGAGAATTTGAATCAATTTCCTTCAATCTCTTCTGTTTTTTCTATCCCAGCCCCATCCGTATAACCTTGAAGGCAACGTTTATTCACTTTCGTTGTGCAAAGGGCAATATTATTCAATCTGGTGCCGGTTCTAAGCGAAATCCGCCCACTTTAATAGGCAATCGCTTGCCGCCTGGCTCCATAATTTGTGCAGTTAACGCAATCAAATATTATGATAATGTATTTCTTTAGCGTTGCGAAAATGTTTTTGTTATACTTGAAATCCCAAACTGTTGTTGTTGAGCTTTGGCTAAGCCAGCGCCGTTTGTGCTTTCTCATTTATGCAAATTTCACTCAATATGCAAAACATAATCATTTTGTTATAAGAACCAAAGAGGAACGAACGCACCACGAACTTCGAATCGAACTTGAAGTTGAAGTTGGAGTTGAAGCTGGAGTCCAAGTCGATCTCAGTGTCGGAGCAGGAGTCGGAGTCACGGGTGCTGTTTTCAAACACGCCCCAGCCTGCAGTTGCCTGGGCAATAAAGCAGCCAACTAAATAACTCAAACTATCACGAGAGATGAGCACAGAGAGACAGAAAGAGAGAGTCAGAGAGACAGGTAGAGCGAGACGGGACGGTGGCAGCTACAGCAGGCAGGAAGCATGCACAGGGCGGAGGACGATCAATCGTTTAAAAATTTAAATAATATATATGTTTGCCAGTCGGCGGGCAAAGCGAAAACTGTAACAGCCGATGTCGGAGTTGAAGTAGGTGGAGCAGCAGCAGCAGCAGCAGCAGCAGCAGCAGCATCAGCAGCGGCATCAGCAGCAACAGCCACAGCAACATTTTGCAGGAGGGAGTCTTGACTTTGAATCGTGGCAAGTTCAGTGAGTTGAACGCATATCGGCGCATGCCTTGCGGCGATTTATGCTTAAAACGGTGTAGATTTTTATGCTGTTTGTGCCGGTGCCCAGTCAAAGGAGCTGCACACACACACACGCACACAACTGCAGAGAGAACGAGACAGCGCAGGAGGCCAGACAGCTAGGCTGCTTATTAAGCGATCTAGCGATTTTAGAGCAGGTTAAGGAACTTTTTTGGAGCATGCCACATGCCACATACGAATACGTGTCGCCGTGTCGCCGTGTCGCAGTGTCGCCGTGTCGCAGCCTTGACAGCAGCCCCTGACTGCTGCCAGTTAAACAAGTTTCACTACAGCCAGCCAGCTAGCCAGACCAAATAAACACCTTCCCAAGTTTCCAGTTTCCTAGTACACAGTGCTCGGACTGCACTTTGCATGTTTGCCAAGTTTATTGGCAGCCCGAAAAAAAACGAACAAACAACAACAACAACAAATTAACAGGCAACAGCTCTGACATCTGGTATGGGCAATGGGGGCGTTTAATTGATTCAAATCGATTTCATTGGAAGTTTCCACGCGTTAATCTCACAGGAAAATGAACAGAAAGAGAAGTAGACACAGCAATACCCTGTAGTTAATGAAAGTTGGGCATATATGCATATATGTATATGGCATATATATTATAGGAATCTGTTTCTTATTTATACAAGAAACTTCTGATACGGCTTGCCCAAGCAGCATCTGCAGATTGCCTTCACTCTGTGAGTCCAACAGCATCCAAAAGCCTGATATACCCTTTGCATCCACGCAAACAGCGCATAAGCATAAGCTGTGCCCTGCCCTAAGCTTCAGACGCTAATGCAGAATCATTGAAGCAAATTAATGAAGCAGCCGCAGCTCGAAAATTGTAAATCGAAATTTGAAATCTCGCCACAATCAGTCATAAGTCCCACAGGAATTGACACACACACACACACACACACACGTACACATACGTCCACATCCCCACACAGAGCAAGAGCGACTGAGCTGAAATCCAAGACGCAATGAATCACCGCAAAGCGCTTCACAATGATTTCAATTCGGATTTCTCGATATTGTCGCAGTTAGCTGCAACGCTCCAATCGCTTCCCCCGCTCCGCCTGCTGCCCGCTGACGAAGGTGTGACAGCTGCGGCTCTGGAACTGTGGGGCTTGGTCTCGGCTATAGCTTGGCATCCGTCCCACTTCCCCCCAACAACGCTAAGCTCCACGCTTGAAATGTAGCTCAATTAATTGTAACGTAATTTCCAGTAGCTGGCTTATGTCTTAGCTTTTGACTTGTCCAGCACTTAGATGCAACTGTCAGCGAGCTGTCAAAGCAGCCGCAGCAGCTCTTGATTTTGAATCTCCCGTCAATGAACAGACACCAAAGTTCATATGTATTGTATAGCACTGTCAATATATATATATACATACACATTTATATGTGGCTAAACCACAACAAAGCCTAAACGGAAGTTTGCCACAGTAAAAATTCTGACTGAAACCGCAATTTGTCACCATTTCTTGCATTTTGCTTAATGAAATTCACAAATTTTGTTGCCCATTTACTGTGATTGCGTTTTGCGTGAAAGAAGGAAACGACAATAGCTGCCAGCTGGAAAGGTCTACGCCAAAGGTGTGCCCCGCAGATAACAAACAAATAAATATATATGTAAATATATGTATATATATATACATATATATATGGATGCCACCGTTCTCTGCGGTTGACTGCCGCCACACAGCGGTTCCCTTGTTTTATCTGCAGCAAATCTGCGAAAATGAGAAGCGACGCATCGCCATCGCCGCCGACGCCTCTGCCTGTCATTTGGCAGCGACAAGCGAAGTTGAGTAGTTGAAGCTAAAGGCACAGCTACAGCCGCAGGCAATTGCTTATCAGAGTGTAAAACATTGCTTTAATATGAATGCCCTAGAGCCAAGTAGACAGCGTAGAACACAATGCTCTAGATAGCCTAGACAATGTATCGATACTATCGATAGCTTGTGTTGGTTTACCTCAGCTATTAAATATAAAATATAAAATTAATTTAAGGGTTTTCATTCATATATTATGAAAGATCAAGAAAATACGCTCTGAAATATTATCGATAATACTCTATCGAACACAATTCAGAATAACTATGAATCATTCTACTTTAGGTTTTAAGGATTAAAGGCCTTCAAACAAAACATTTTCATATAAAAAGTATTAATGATATAGCCAAACCTTCAATATTATGTACAATATTTATCGATAATTTGTAAATCAATATCGAAAACTAAAAACCTACCTATACAGTAATATTATTATACAAAATAAGCGATAAATTTCAAACCAATTTGACATAAGTAATCGAACATAACAAATCACAGTCTCTAAGTCGCTGATATCCATATTTAAAACATGTTTTTTTTTGTTGATACTGACACTGCCAACTCTCTGAAAATGAATGTTTATGAAAATATTTCGAAAAATAAATTTAAACTTAACACAATATTCAAATTAGACATTCCTAGATAAGCTCAAATGTCAAGTTGTTGGATATTTTCAATTCAATTCAAATTAAATATAAGCAAAAGGCAAACGGCTTCATTAGGCCCACAGAACTATTGAAATTTGTTGCGCTCATTCATCAACGTGGCAACGAGGGTGTCGCTCCAAGGTCTGTCAAACGTTTGCAAATGTCATAATTGCATACATTTTTGATTATATTTCGCTATTTTGTTTTGTCACAGCAGCAGCAGCAGCCACAGCGACAGCCACAGCCACCAAACAAACAAAATAATAAAAAGTGAATGTCATTTAGCCATCAAAAGCCGCTAGATTATTTGGCGACACTCAATATACATACATAGATGTATGCATGTATGCATGTCAGTGTGTGTGTGTGCTCACATTTACATTCACATTCAAATATTGATGTTGATCTGACGAAATCGACACAAATGACTCGCTGGCTGCCACCTGTTGCTGTGATTATGTCTTAGACTTCGACTACGTAGTAGGTACGTACGTATCCGTTTGCATAGACTTAACTTGTAGCCGCTTGTAAAAATTTGCACCACGCTGCGTATGATTAATGTGGCAGGGGCATGTGCAATTTGCAGCGCTCCCCCCCTTCGCCAGCTGTCAATCAATGCGCACAGCAGAAAAAAAAAAAATAATAACTGTGCCAAATTCTGCATGTCTGCTGATATATTATGGAATTTATTATATGCTAGATATGTCAAAACAAACAAATTGTTAGCCACAATGATTGAGTACTTTATGCTTTGAAAAGATCTTCCAGACATCAAGTGGTTGAGAAATGTGTGCGAATAGAAGGGAGTCGAGCAGGGTTAAGAGAGAGAGTAAAGCGAGGAGTGTTTATGAGCGAGAGTATTTAAGTGAAATGTTTTTATTGTCTTAATTTATTTATATAGTATATATTTTTTGAATATAAAATGAATAAAGTATAACAAGATTCAGTTTATTGATTTTGTTTATTTTATTATTATTATTAATTTATTTTTTATTTAGAATTATTAATTTATATAGCATAATTGAATAACTTTAATATTTCTTCTGTATATCTGTAAATCTCTCTATCTTGTCTACACATATGTATCTCTATCAGTCCATCACTATATCAATCTAGAAGCAGAGTTTATAAGCAGTCTAACTCTTATCTCACTCTTCGAAAATATTCCAAAAACCTAAATACGCAGCCACAACTTCCTCTGCATTTCAGCATCTCTCGTACTTAACTGATTGCCAATTAACTTTTACTTTTATTTATCCAGCTTTGCCCCTGCACAATTTCAATTTCTAATCAATTCTACATTCACTTAACTGGCGCCTTTCATAAGCTGTTTAACTAGATTATAGACTACCGCGCGTATTATCTATAATTACCAATTGCTAAATCGCAGGCCTAAGCACACCAACCGAGAGGCATAGAGCGACAGGGAGCGCGAAAGATTATATAACCGGACTGGACTAAGGCAAGACTAAGCTGTAAGCGGAAGTACCAGACCAGAGGGTGGCCATGCTGAAGCCGAGGCCCAGGCCGAGACCGAGGCCAAACATTGTTTTTGTCAGCTATTTAACATGCTTGCTACATGATTGAAGGAGGGTGCGCAAGCGTTAGTGCAATCAACGGATGCCAAAGCAAACCGCCGCGCGTCTATGGATGGGCTCAACTGAATAATTTCCGGGAAGAAATATATGTACTCGCATTGGCTGGCATGCAAAACAAGCTAACTGACAGACAGTCACAGGCCAGGCCTGGGCAGGCAGGCAGGCAAGGTAGGCCAGAAGGCTGTGGCCGGGAAACTGGGCAGCTGGATAGCTGTATGGCTGCAGAGCTGGGTAGCTGCTCAGGCTGTGGCAGTCAGCGACATGCAAAGTCGACAACAAGAACAAATTGCTGCCGCTTGGCAAAGACAACGACGGCGATGAGGACGATGACGACAACTACAACCACAACTACAACTACAACTTGACCATGGCCAAGACGGGCAGCTCAGTCATAACTCAGGCTATTGGCTTGTTAAGCGATATTTTCCAATATATACCAATGTGTGCGCACTCTCTTCTACTGCTCTCAGCTACAGCTTTAGCTACCCCAGAGTTCAGCTTCAGCATCTTTGTAATTACGTGTAGAGTATTTTCTCGTTCGAGGGCGCGTGCGTGCCCAGCCATATGGATATTTATTTTGTTGCGTACAAGTTCTTCGTCTTCGTCTTCGTCTTCATCTTCGTCGTTTTTCGGCCTTTGGCGCTTTTCAACTATAAATATCCTATATGCTACGGTGTCTGCCCGTCCGTCCCATGGTCATGGTTATCGGAACGGCAGCTGTTGAGCGCTTGGCATTGAACGCATATTAAGCTATTTTCCTTGCAGGCCCCATAGATGGAGGGAGAGCGCTTATCAAACGCATGCAAAAGACACGTGTATGAGTGGATCGCAGCGCCATGTCCATGTCCATGTCCCGGCCATGTCCTGCAGTGGCAGCTCGCAAATGATTTATAGAAAGCTCTCATTATTTATAGCTGCCTCAGCTAGGCGCTGTCAAATAAGTTGAGGCAATTAATTAAGCCAACTCCGCCGCATCATCCACAATTCTGGTGCCGAAAGCAAATATTGATGCGCCGGCTGTGCCATGTCGATAATAGCTGTTCCGACTGCCGCCGCGGCTGTCGAGCAGCGCCAGAGTAGCACTCAATTGGTCAGGCAATTGAACAGACGAGCTACCAAATTGGATACACTTACTATCATATTCATATTTTATAGAAAAGCTGTTAGAGACGGGACTGAGCAGAGTATACATATGTGTGTGTGAAAGAGAGAGAGAGAGAGATTGCTTGACAAAGTACTTAGATCGCAGAGTTTATGTAGGACGGGATAATTGTACTCACTAAGATCTGAGAGAGCAATGAAATCTTCCTCTTAAATGTATGTCATATGTATTATAATTAAGAATTCTATGGAGCCCATTAAGCTGCTCCAATATAAGCTATATTTATAGTACTGCATATTCCTGAGGAAAGATATCCAAAACATGAAAGTGTTCTCAAATACTTCGCTGAATAATAGTTTCGTAATGGCATAAAAGGTTATCGATAAAGAGCTATCGATATATGTTGTATTATGCTTGTGAAAGTTATCGATACACTATCTAATATATATATATATATATAATAGCTAGCATGTAAAACTCTTAAATTTTAATTGTTCACATTTATTGAGATTCTATGTCAAGTTTACATAATTAATAATAATAACATCTGCGCTATAAATTTCGTCTAATCTCATCCACTTAACTCTCTCCTATAGTTCTAGCATAAGTATCCCACAAAATGCTTTCATTTATAAGAAAGCCCAAAATGAAAACTTCCATCGGTTTCACTGGCGTGCAGCTAATTGGAGCAATGTGCGTTTCGACTCTTAAAAGGTTCGCTCATTAGTGTTAAACAAGCATTTTATTTGAGGGCCAGCAGCTCATTTGCAACGCCTCGTTTAACTGAAATGGAAATGCCAATTTCTCGGCCCCATAAAAACACGTGCCAAAAAAAAAACAAAAACTCAATCGACAGCCCAAATCATATGGCCAAGCAAAACACGAATCCAAATTCAAGCCCAATTCACAATAAGCAAAAGCCGCTGCAGAAACAGAAACCCTTCTTATAACAACAGTGTGTGTCATTATTTCGAACGCGTGTTGGCGTTTTGCTTTTTTTTTTTTCATTTTTTCTTTCATTCTGTGCGAATCCTAAGTTTAAGTCGGAGTTGGCAATAAAACTGTGCTGGCTGCCAAATTAGAGGTTACCAATGGCAATACTAAAGTTGGGGGCGTGTTGTGCCCGTAAACCAGACACTAGAGAGTTATAAGAAAAAGCAAAAAAACAAAAAAATCAAAATCAAGTGCGAGGGCGGGTGTTAATTATAGGGCGTAACCAGTGGCCTGCACAAAGCCAGCAGCAATTGGCAGTTTAATTGGCGACTGCAGAGCAAATGAATATGATATTAATTGACAGCTGAGCAGGGAACTCTTGGAGCGTATACAAACAGACAGATAGAGAACTAGGCATCTATTAAGCTATAGAGTTGCCATTAAAGAGATTATCAAATATCATATAAGAGCTAGCCACATTTTCAGCATCTCTTAAAGATTGGAGCCTCGCCTATATTTCATTTTTCTGCAGTAAGAACTGGCTATACTTTTATTTTGGATTATTCCACCCTCCACTCGATTCCCCAAGGATCTGAGCTACACTTTTGAGCACAGTAAATCCTAGATAACACCACTTTTTAAAGCACCAATGCCATCTCCTCCATCACCGCCATAACTTAACTCATTTGCCTCAAAAGCTAGCGAATTTCGCTCTGAAAAGAAACTCTAAAAACATTGCGTGTAGCGCCTAGACGGCTATTAAACAGCACTTAGAACATTAAAGTCAAAGAGAAGGCGATTTTTTGTTGCTTTTCAACTTTTTTATTACGAGCTTTAGCTTGCTTGCGCTCTAATTGAAATAAATCAGTTTCGTGCCTGAACTAACATTAAATATGCCCACTTAGTCTCGCTAAATGATACCAATAGAAAGAAAAGTGAGCCATCCATTAATAATTAATCGTGTCTGAACGATTTGGATGAATTCACGACATTTTGCCGAAACGCTGATTGAACAGAAATAATTGTTGGGCTCAGCAACAAATCGAATTTTTGTTTTATAATTGAGTGTTTGTTCGTTCATCAAAGAAGAACGGAAGTGGAGCAGGGCAACAGAACACGATTGTTATTATATAATTGAGAGAAGAGGAAGAGAGAGAGAGTGAATGGGTGAGTGAGTGAGTTAGTCAATTTTCTCTTGTTGCTGTTGTGATTTGTAGCACGTACTCTGGCAGTCCGGCTACTGCTTTCAGCTGGCGTTGCCCGCTAACAAATTAATAAATGATTATTATATTACGCAGGCCGTTAAGTAATGCGATTATGACATAACGAGCTCGCACACACACCGCCAATTGTTCAAAGAGAGACAGATAGAGAGAGAGAGTGAGATCTGACCTGACTGTAGAGACAGCAGCAGCAGCAGCCGCAACAGTTGAGGCATCATCTGAGCTGAGGCTGGGCTCTTGCCTCAATAATTTATCCATTAAGATTGCACGCGCCTGATTGTGTGCTACGTGGCCCGTTTTGGGCTTTAGACGGTAGCCTGGTAGCCTCCTAGTCAACACAGAGAGACAGACAGACAGACCGGCAGATGGCCGGACAGAATGCTATGGGGGCTCTATAGCTATATGGCTATATGGCTATAGGGGGCATGGCTGCGGGCGCTGCCCACAGTTGATTTAATGCGCCAAATTATAAAATTGTTGTTGATTTAATTTTATGAGTGTAAAACGGACCGAACGCTCTCTCAACTGTCTGACGATCGGTCAGAGTGTGCGCCCAGCTACTCGTCTTTTCTTTTTGCTTTCAATTTTCCGCCGGACAGACAGACAGACAGACAGACTTTCCGCCAGCTTGTAACCATGTTTCGCAGTTTATCGCAATCTTAGCCGCAACCGAAAACCAAACGCTGAACGTGACATGTGAATTAGGCAGCCAAATACATGGACATGGACACGAACTAACCAGAGAGTGAACCGTACCTGTATAGAGGAGCCGGTGGTCCAACAAGATTCTCAACTCCCAGCAGCTCTGCCTTCAATCTACTTTTATTTTTTCATATTTTTTTTCGCTTCTCTCTGTTTTCGTTGAGCGTGTTTTATTAATAAATTAATTGACGCAAATGTGGTGCTGGCATTAGACATGATCTTGGTGAAGGCCTGTTAGATCTATTTAGTAATATGTTATGTTGCTGTGCCATTTATTTGGTTTCCCTGAAATTTCGACTACTGTGCTGCGACGGTCGATTCTAGTGAATCGTCGATAAGAGCTGCTTGCTAATTTATCATTTTAATTAGGTATACACAATTATTGAGAATTATTGTGATATTAATTGTTGTGCATAGGGAAGACCAAAGATGTTATCTCATCCATCCAAATTGTGTACCCGGAACTTTATTGCGCAATTTTTTTTTAGATTTTTCATATGATTCGATCTTTGGAAGAAATCATTATGGAAGATTTATTTGATGTGCTTTGATTGCTATAATAGTTAAGAGATTTGTCCTTGGTAAATGAGTTATTTGTGTGAATGAGCTTCGGGGTATCGGGTTGTATGGAAATCGGCGCTATCAGTGAAACTATCAAACAATCAACTAAGTATTTGACTATAAACATTTTGTTTAGCTCGAGATCAAGTTTACCAATAATCATCGAAAGAAAAGTTAACGTTAAACGTTTTTACCTATATAACAAACGAAATTTATGGGCATGCGGGCTTGAATAGATGAATGTATACATGATTGTCAGCTTATATAGTCATAATTTCAATCATTTGAATACAAAATAGTTAAGACATAAATTTCAGCTTAATTACACTGTTTTAGTAAGTCAAGTGTAGAAATAAGCAAAGAAAGCGAGTTGGAGTTGGAAAATCAGGCATATGAATAATATATTAAAAATAATAGTATATATGCCATGTTAGATTCTGTCATAATAAGAAATACTCTACACTCTTTAGTCCCACATTTGCTTGAACAAAAACATTTAGTCTAAGCAACATTATCATAAAGAGAAACAAAAGTTGAGTATGCGGGCTCAGATCTTAGTGCTTAATAGGTAACCCTTTAAAATCCAAGAAAACAAGTGCATTAAAGCCAACTCAATCCAATCGCACAAAGATTTTCACTTAACGTTATTTAATTGATATCATTTGCCTTAATGCAACAACAACAAAAAGCCCAACAAAATAAAATTTTACTGTGAGTGCGCTTTAACGCTTCTCAATCTGAGAGTCAATTAAATAAAGTTTTTGCCTTTAAAGAGCCAGCAATAATAATAACCACCAGCAGCAGCCGCTGCACCACCACCAGCCAGGGCAGCAGCAGCGGTCGAAACATAAGTTTCGACAATGCCGCCACCCGCTGCTGCTGCTGCTGCTGCAGTTGAGCTCAGCTGCCTCGAGAGAAGTGAAAAGAAGACCATAATCGAAATACTAAACCCGCTTCGTTTCTTTTTTTTTGTGTTTTGTTTTTTATTCTCCTTATACATTTTAATGCAACGGGGCAACCCGCAGGCCCAGGAACCGTGCACAATTTGGCGCCCTACTTCGGGCCGGGCTGCTCCTACGCAATGGGAACGAGGTTCCCATGTTAAGTGTTAATAAATCGCCTCAATGAAGATCATGGAAATTTGTTTCAAACTGTTTTTATATTATTTTGTACAACTTCGTTTGGGGCCAGGCAGCCAAAACCTTTTATTTCTTTTTGTTGCTGCCCTTTTATTACTTAACAAATTAGCTCAAATTAATCAGAAACGAAAGTAACGCCACATGCAGCACTTAGGCCCTAAAGACAAATGGACAAACGGATCACCGAGGCAGTGCTGTGTGTGAGGGCTCTAAGGGGGAAGGGGAAACTAAAACCCAAAAGCATATAAAACATAAAATGTATTCTGAGCATTTACGAGGCGACAGTCTAGCTCCGTGAGCCAAGCTCTATCGCATCCTTTGCTGATGATGCGTAAGTGCAGCATTTTCTTAAGCAATTTGCAAGCTTTCAATCAAGCCAAAGACTCAGAGAGAACGAGACAGAGAGAGAGAAAAGAGAGAGAGAGAGCTTGATCTGGCTGTAATCGATCAAAAACCCGTATGGCTTGGACGCATGTTGTGGCAGCGTCGTTCGATTCCATCATTCATGCGATCAACATTATCTGCCGTCAGGCATCGAGCGATCCAGCAAACTCTCTGAGTCGAGCCCCTTGCGCCCTGCTCCATGCGTCGTTCTGAAAAGCGTAATTAACGTTCGCATATTTTGCTGTCGGATTATCGCCCGTACCGCGTTCATCAGCGACAAAAGCTTCCTGTGTAAATTGTACGAATAATTGCGCGACTAACTGTAAAAACATGATGCTGCTGCTGCTGTTGCTGCTGCTGCTTCTGGTGTTGTTGCTGCTCCTGCTGCTATAAAGAGGGATTTCTGTTCTCTGTCGATCAATGCAGTCACGACCTCCGACTCGACCCCCCGCATCCAATTAAACTAATAATAAATGCCAGCAATTAATAAATGCTTGACATTTTCTGGCTCACGAGGGTGGTCCTCGGAAAATGTCTCGACTTTTCCCAGCCATACGAGGCACAAGAGAAAAGAGAGATATACCAAGAGACTTTGCTCAGTCAGTGTCAATTCTCGAGTGGTTTGGACTAGTGTTTGTAAAATGATATGAGCACTTTTTCTTAACAAACACAAACTCAGTCTCACTCTCGCTCTCTCTCTCTCTCTCTCTCTCACTTTCATTGATGTTCAGTTTGTAATTTCTCAAGCGCTAATCCTTCGGCTCGCTGCTTATCGCCCGCGCCCCGAGACGCTAATTTGATGAGTCATCTGTGCCGACTTGGCCTTCGTCGTCGTCGTCGTCGTCGTCGTCCAGTTGCGATAGTCATCTGCGTATCGCTGAAGGGCTATAAGTGAACCCCGACCCCAATGGGCTTCACATCTTTTTACCTGTTCGTCTATTGTCGTAAATTTAAGGCTTGTCATTGAATGGGAGTGCTGTGAGCATCTATCTAGGGACGAGCGACGATATGTTTGTATTGAGTTTTCGTAGAAAATGTCACTAAAAAAAGGAATGTCAACATACAAACACACAGGCACACAGGCACACGCACACGCACGCACACACACAGGCCAGTGAGAGCGAAGAAAAGAAGAAAACTATGTACACAGTTAGATGTTAATCGGATCGCTGCGCTGAGCACATATTGGGTATCTCATTTCTAAATAAAAAGGCCGCAAAATGAAAATCGTAACAATGGAAAATGTCTAGCTATGTTTGAATTGTTGTTGTTGTTTGTCCTATTGTTGTTGCCGGCTGCTCAATAATTACGTTGATATCCGAGAGCCAAAGGCATTTAAAACTTATCGACTCTGAACAGAGACAAAAAAAACAACAACAAAACTGAGCCTCATTTATGCGCTTCATTAATTTGCTTTCAATTCAAGGATAAGCGATGAGCGAGTGGAGGGAGCAGCAGCTGTTTAATGACCGCAAGGCAGACATAAGTCGGAAGAGCCTAAAACTGTTTATTTTGCTCTTCAAATATTGAAAATTCATATAGTTCTAGCATAGAAATAATTTTATATATTCATGAGTTTATATTAAATTTTTTAGCACCAATTTTAAGAAAAATCTTATATTTAATCTCGACATTAAACCAAACTCAATCTTAACAAAGTTATAAAAATTCCTACGATTTGCATAAGCCTCAAATCGAAGTGATTTGCCATAAATAGTATTGGCTGATTTTATAGCAACATTAACGATAATTTTTATGAAGTGCTTGCCATAAAAAAATGATACGAAATTGTTTGTAAAGCTTCTCAGAACAATATTTAATTCCCTGTTTTCGAAGCTTAATTCGAAATTTATAAGCAGACGAAAGATATCGATTGATGTGAGCGGACGAGCTGAGTAAGAGAAACCATGAATGGAACTCAGATGTCGGCTTTGGGTTTTTGATTTGCCAAAACTCTAAACATACATAAGTATATATCTATATATATATATATATAAAATAAAAGGCAAATTAATTGCGTTTGCGTTTGGGCGCACCCTAACGGCAAGTGGCCCGATCCCAGTCTCTGACTCATAGTTTGCGCTGTTCATGTCCGAGTCGGAATCAATGGTCATTCGACTTGGGGCCCCCCCGTTGGCTATCATATGAGGAAAAAAAAAACAACAAAGAAGAGGAAGAAAACAAACAAAAAACGAACGCCGACGACGTCGCAGGTTTTGCCAAAGGAAGTGCTCCGTAAGATTTGGTCGCCTACTCCGGAGCTGTCAGCTTATCAATTCGCTTTTAGCGCAACCTCTCACAAAACTGTGTCCTGTGCAAGTGTGTGTGTGTGTCTGTGTGTGTGTGTGAATGAGTGAGTGTGCCTGTGTGTGTGTGTGTTTTATTATCAGAGCGCACTCCATGGAATGCTTGCCAACATCTACTCAGTTCCATTCCAAGCAACTCTCTCACTCGCTCTCTCTCACCCCCTCTCTCATGCCCTCCTTCTCTCCCTCTCTCTCTGTCCCTCTTTCTCGTTGTCTTTGTTGAGTTGCGTGTTTTGAGTCGAGGCGCTTCGGCATTGGCATTCCATGTTATCCTTGTGCTCTTGTGCTCAATTTCGGCTACTTTTGGGCCATCTATGTGTGTGTGAGTGCGTGTGCGTGTGTGTCGTATGTTCGTGTCGCCCCGTCTCCATCCCGTCGTCTGCCGTCGCAGCGAGATAAGGTTTTAAGTTATGACCTTTTAAAATGTCCAAATGCGACGATAACGCGTGATTACTACAAATGTATTCCGAGAGTGCAGCGACCAGAATCAAGCCCAAGTCCAAAACGAAGCCCAACTCCAAGCCAGGACGCACATGCACATGCACATGCCGCTAACCAGGAGCGACAGAGAGCGAGAGAGCGAGAGAGAGGGAAAGAGATTGTTACAAGCAACGGGCAACATGTTGCGCCAGTTACAAATTGTTTTGGCCTCAAAACCTAAGAAATGAAATCTTAAATCACATGGCAACCCGCCCCTTTTGCGTTTTGGGCCAAGCTTCTGTCTAAGATCATCAAATCGATTGCCCAACCACTGCAGGACATTTAGACCAAGTGCAGTTGACCAGTTGGCAGTTACGATCTCCTCCTCGTCGTAGTCATCGTCATCATCATCATCATCATAGCTTTACCATGTGAACCTACAATAAATATCGATCAAAACGTCAACTTTTATCTATGCCACAAATCGAACGCACAGTGTGACTTAGCTTATATGAGCTGTTCGGAAACAAATCTAGATTAGGATTAAACGCTGCTTGTAGTATATCACATGAAGAATACTCAGAAATAAAACACATAAAATGTTAAAGATGAAACATTTTATAGTTTCAACATTTAGTGAGTTTACCCACTGTGATTTGTTACTCAGTGAATTGTCTAACAAGAAGTTTTTTGATTGGGATGCAGATAAAGAAGCTTTTTGTTTTAGTTCTACAGTTCTTCAGCTTGAATGAATTTGACAGTTTGAATTAGAAAAGTTTCATGAAAGTTGCTAAGAATAAAGTAGGTAAATATTTGTCATCAGGTTGACAGTAAAATTATTGCCCTATCTCTCACTATGCATACAGAAACTAGATGGGAGATTAGAGCTTATGGTTCCTAACTCTCAGAGAAAGATGAGAAGACCATGTCTTACGTAATTTATACAACATTATGCCATTTAAAAGTCCTCGATTATTTCAGACTTTATTCACGCTTTTTATTGTCTACAGTAATATTGACAAATAATATTATATTGATCGAACTATGTAGACTACAAAGGTTACATCAACAATATTTTTCTGTGCTAGACATAAAATCTATAGTCGAACTTTTTATAACCTTTGGAATTCTCCATCACTACCAAGCTATACTATATAAATTCTATATCTTACATCATATTCACCATTTATCACATGTAGATCCCTTATCAACCCACTTTCTTCAGCCACTCATTTGTGTTACTAATTAAATTTGCAGCCCTTTTCCATCACATCTGGCACCACTGTGCAATGGAGCAGGGCACTTTGTAAATTGTTGCGCCTTGCATAATTTTTGCATAATTCTTGTTTTATTCTGCTCGCCTTTTGCTGCTTCAGGAATTTTCCTTATCTTTTCCTTTCTTTACTCAACTTTACTTTATTTTACTTTTTTCTTTTAATTCGTTGTGTTTTTTTTTTGTGCTGCCTCTTGCTCCTTATGCATATGTCGATTGTTGGCTGATATCTGTGGCGGACGTGGATGTAACGAAATGCTTGAAGGGATTCTGTGCTCTTTGCTGCTTATTATAAGTGATCGGCGCCCGTCCTGCCTCGCCTCGACCTCTCCAGAGGACAACCCGTACAGGTAGATATACATGTATGTATATATGTATATGTGTATATATTGCTAATAATAACAATAATAATATGCGTTCGCTTATCAAAATTGACGTCAGATCTTATTGATATGCATCTGGAAGCGCAGTTTTTGTTACCACCCGCCCCGCCCCCCTCGCCCTTATTTTTTGGGCCGCACAAAAGAAAATCGTGTCAAAGGCAAACTGCAAAAGCCAGTCCCGGCTCCACAACAGAATTGAGCTTAATTGAAGCGTTATTATGCGAGTGTCACATATGCAAAGTATTTCAAAAAAAAGAAGCAGAGAAAAATGTATATATGAACACCACAGTGCAGAGCTGCTCGGTGGGTCTGCGACTCCTGGGCTGACTCTTAGTCTGAGTCGCGGGCCGTCTGAGCTGTGCGACCACGTCCTGGCCCGGCCTGCTCTGGCATCAAGCTGTGCATACAAAACGTGCACCTTCGCTCAGTTTGACAGATGCCTCAGAATTTAAGCACCGCGGGCAATCGCAACGCGCAACGCAACGCAACGCTGCTGCTGCTGCTGCTGCCACAGCAGCTCGCAGGCCGTCTTTTATTAATCAGCAGCACCGACTCCAGCCACATACACACACACACACACACACACACACTTATGCCATGCGAGCGAGCAGGGCTTGAAAATATTATTTATATCGAATTTAATAATAATTCTTGAGCCGCTGCCGCTGCCGCTGCTGCTGCTGCTGCTGCATCGATCCTGCGTAGGCTGCCACAGAGCCTGGAGTTGGCCAGTTTTTGATCGGCGCAAAAATTTGCATTGATCGACGTTGAAGATATCGGTGGCAGGTAAACTGCCAAATGCCTGATGCTTGATTCCCGATGCCTGATGGTTGCCAGCATCGTTGAGATGAAGCTGCTGCTGCTGCTGCTGCCGATCGTTTACCGCGTTTATGATGAATGATTGCGGGCGTCGGCCAAGATGGTGGGCCATTCAACTTTGACTACTTTCGCCTGGGTGAAAAGCTGTGCGGCACACAGTCCCGCCAACGCTTGAGCATCGCGCGCGATCGCCCTTATTAGCATGCCAGCAACGTTTCAGAAACATGGCACAGCCTCC